CACCCATTTTCAAATTAACACTCTAATATATGCACAGTATGGGACAGTACACCGGATATACCGTGTTCTGAGTCAAAATAAAATCGAAGAAAGTTACAAGAGGTGAGAAAAATTTGATTGCTGGGTTCTTAAGACACTAATCTCGGTTTGATTTGATGTATTTTTTGTAAAAGAAGTCATAATTCCTTACGGAAAGAATTGTTTCCAGAGCAGACAAAAACAAGTGCTCTATTTACCTGGTCGAAAATTAAAAATACTGAATCGACAGTTTTCTTAACCCTTTTGCCATGTTGTCAGATACAAATTTTCAGTAAGATAGACAAAAATTGAAGTCTACAGCGGCCATAAAAATAATGTAATGTCTACATAAAATATGTGCACAAAAGTGTACTGGGTATAATGAGCAATTATACTCAGGATTACATACAAAATGAGCAATGAAAACGATAGGATGCCTCCTTCATCTTCATAATCAGTATGATCATCATTATTATTACCGCCATGATCATCATTATTATTACCGCCATGATCATCATTATTTTTATCAGTTATTTTCAGGCATACGTGGAAAGTGAAACATTGGACGGAGTAAGTATTGTTTTGGCTGCCAACATATAATTTATACAAATATATACTTGCCACACACGGCAAGTGTTCAGTGAAATGGAAAAAGTAATTTTGATACCTACCTTTATGCAATTATGTTAAATTTTTACATCATAACGTTTACACAATATACGTGTCATTGGTCTTATGGTTAAACCACAATGAACACAAACACGTATTTACCAGTATGTTGTTATGAAGGTATTAAATCTGTAAAAAAGGACTACTATTAAACAAAATGTAACTTTAAAATAAGATACTCGGGCGAAGTAAAACTTGTTAACTTTCAATTGTTATTTCTCAGGTTGTGATACATTATAGCAATGCTTACATAACAACGACATAATTATGTCTCCCCCACCTCGGGGGGAGACATATTGTTTTTGCCCTGTCCGTCCGTCCGTCCGTCCGTCAGTCCGTCAGTCCGTCCGTCCATTCTTCGTTTCCGGACGATAACTAGAGTTCCTTTTGACCTACAGCCCTCAAACTTCATAGGATGATTGGTCTTATAGAGCTGATGATCCCTATTGTTTTTGGGGTCAGTAGGTCAAAGGTCAAGGTCACACTGACCGTTGGTCAATTTCTCGTTTCCGGATGATAACTAGAGTTCCTTTAGACCTACAGACCTCAAACTTCATAGGATGATTGGTCTTATAGAGCTGATGATCCCTATTGTTTTTGGGGTCAGTAGTTCAAAGGTCAAGGTCACAGTGACCGTTGGTCAATTTCTCGTTTCCGGATGATAACTAGAGTTCCTTTTGACCTACAGCCCTCAAACTTCATAGGATGATTTGTCTTATATAGCAGATGATCTCTATTGTTTTTGGGGTCAGTAGGTCAAAGGTCAAGGTCACAGTGACCGTTGGTCAATTTCTCATTTCCGGATGATAACTAGAGTTCCTTTTGACCTACAACCCTCAAACTGGGGGGAGACATATTGTTTTTGCCCTGTCCGTCCGTCAGTGTTCGTCCGTCAGTCCGTCAGTCCGTCCGAGCCAACATTTGATTATTATGAGCTTCATTCCGTAGTAAAATAAAGAACATAAACTCATAAAATAAAAAATTAAGAGTTTTTTTTTGTTTTTATGAGCTTATTTTGCTTATGGACGTTGGTCCAGGTGGTGTTTATGAGCTCATTTGCCTCATAAACATCAAATTTTGGTATGTCCGTCCATTCTTCGTTTCCGGACGATAACTAGAGTTCCTTTTGACCTACAGCTCTCAAACTTCATAGGATGAATGGTCTTATTGAGCAGATGATCCCTATTGTTTTTGGGGTCAGTAGTTCAAAGGTCAAGGTCACAGTGACCGTTGGTCAATTTCTCGTTTCCGGATGATAACTAGAGTTCCTTTTGACCTACAGCCCTCAAACTTCATAGGATGATTGGTCTTATAGAGCTGATGATCCCTATTGTTTTTGGGGTCAGTAGGTCAAAGGCCAAGGTCACACTGACCATTGGTCAATTTCTCGTTTCCGGATGATAACTAGAGTTCCTTTAGACCTACAGACCTCAAACTTCATAGGATGATTGGTCTTATTGAGCAGATGATCCCTATTGTTTTTGGGGTCAGTAGTTCAAAGGTCAAGGTCACAGTGACCGTTGGTCAATTTCTCGTTTCCGGATGATAACTAGAGTTCCTTTTGACCTACAGCCCTCAAACTTCATAGGATGATTGGTCTTATAGAGCAGATGATCCCTGTTGTTTTTGGGGTCAGTAGGTCAAAGGTCAAGGTCACAGTGACCGTTGGTCAATTTCTCATTTCCGGATGATAACTAGAGTTCCTTTTGACCTACAACCCTCAAACTTCATAGGATGATTGGTCTTATTAATCAAATGATCCCTATTGTTTAAATGGTCAGTAGGTCAAAGGTCAAGGTCACAGCGACCGTTGGTTCAGCCTTCATTGAAGTGACTACCAGGTATTTACATTATCTTATCTCCATTTCCATTCCTGTTTCCATTCACAGTTATTCTCAGCAGTGGGGGAGACATGCGCTTTTTTACAAAAGCATCCTCTAGTTATTAATCCTTGTTGCTCAGAATACAACCAATATTGAAACATAGAGATTAGATTAACATATTAATGTATATTCAAAGTAGGATAACTTCTTTTTTTCAGTATTTATATAGATTCCTATTATTTTAATTTACGTTTGTCAAATTTAAACTCCACATAGAAATAGAACGGTTTATTTCATATATTCAATAATTTCGTAACAGTTCAGTTTTACTCTATCGTTTTGTCGTTATTATATCTTCACGGATTGGCAACACGTACAGTGGGCATGGTGGGTAATACAGAAAACACAAACACTGAAAATCCGAAGCCTTTCTTATGTAAAATACTTATGTTACAAATGACAGAATGACCAATAGTGTTATTAATAGTAAAATAGTATTTCTAATATTTTGTGCACAAAATATGTGTAGACAAACAATCGCACATTGTCATATTCAAATGAGGTGTTAAATATGGCAGACAATAAAATGAAAGTAAAAGGAAACTTTTGAATCATTAGAGAGGTCCGGACCAGTTTACATACAGGTCAAACTAAAATATAGCTACAACAAAAACAGTGTGATATCTGACACCATAGAAATGTATAAACACTCCACAGTATGTAGCATAATGTATCTCTACAAGTTTGATTCTCCACATGAATTGTCAACCGAACATTTCATTTTTTAAGATGATACATGCACCGATACTTAATAAAACACCACCAAATTACAAGTTTACAAATATATTACACGCAGATCCATTCCACATTTTTTCTTTATCATTGTTTGCTTATTTTCTATACAATATTCAAAATGGTGAAAGTTTTATATCTTATTTATTTCAGTGCCACAGGTTGTACAATGTGAAAGGCAACTGGATAATCTCAATCGGATTTTGTTAATTACATTCTTTAACGATAAACAAGACTTATGCCAAATTTACAATTAAACATGATGGCAGTTGGAATCCCATTAAAACCGTTGGCAAAATGATTAGAAAAATTCTCAGAAAATGAAACTGAAATAGGGAGGGTTGGTGAAAAGTTTCTTACTTGCATTACACTTTCATTTATGAATATTTGTTTCTGGTTGTTTTTAACAAAATCGTACTTTTTATCTATGAATATCTTGTCTTATCTTTTGAGAAAGAAATGTTAATATAACGAAAAAAAACCAAATATTTTGGCTTGCCTGAAATGTGATTCAAACTCAAAACCTGTCAAATCATAGGCAAACTTTTTGGGCACAACAAAAATCAGAAGCACACCAAATTACTGTCACATTTTGAATTTCCATTAGACTCGTTATTCTTACATACACGCATACGGAAAAACATACAAACTCATAGCAGACTTAAAATGATAAAAAGGATATAATAACAAATGTTTAGAATACGTACGGAATATTATGTTGTAGTAGCTTTTTGGGGCTTTGTATTTTGCTACGAGCAGCGGTGGAAAATAGATATCTCGTACGGCCGAAGGTCGGATGACTTATCAATTTTCCAACGTTGCAAGTAGAAAAATACATAGCCTCAGAAAGCTACTACAAAACAATCTTCCTTTTATTATATACCTTTTCGTTTTGAGCAAAAAAATGAATTTCAATATACATAACTTTTATAAGGTATTTCAGAAAATGAAATGTAGTTGTCATGAAATAAATTCATGAATAATACGTAATTTTGCATAACCGGCTATGACTTTAATAATTTTGGTTTCCGTTTCAAAATGCTACGTTTTACACAGCTAAGATCAGAAGGAACATGAAAAATAGTCCTGTTCTGCCATATATGGTACCGTATTTGTCACATACATAATACGGAATTTTCTATCTCTTGCAGCGTATTTGCACTTCAAGATTTGCATGTATTTTTGGGAAAAGTTTATAATGTTGGTGCTTTCTGGGTGCCCTACTTGGGGTAGTCGGGGTCTGCGTCCTGTGAACGTTGTCTTTGCCTTGTTGAGTTTTATTCTTTTATAATAAAATGCGATACGAGTTCTTTTGTGATGAACAAACTACAAGCGTGTGGAATTTATATTCACTGATAATGTGATACCAATGCATACACTCGTCTACACTTAGATCGTCTAAATATTTTGGACAGGGGAGGGGAAGGGACGGGAGGGGAGGGGAGGAAGGAAGGAAGGAAGGATTCAATAAATGTACGCGATTAAACAACACAGGACTCCTGATTTATTAAACAGAGACATGCATTTCTTTATTTTTTTATTAGTAGCATTTGTTTAAAGCGCACTTGTGTTTGTAAAAAAACTTTGAAATATTTTCAATATCTCGCTAACATCATGAACAGCCCATTACAATCTTAGGAGAAAATACTTTATCCTAATTATTTTCTCGTAACTATATTAGCGATTGGAGCCATTAGATGCAATATTACTTTTGAAGAAGTGTATTCAAATATTTGACAATTGGTGTAACAAGTTAATATGCTGTTGAAATATTATTCCGTCGTGATACTGTGTTTTTCCGTCGTCAACGGAGAACCTGGAGAACCTAAATGTTTTTTGAGATTTGACTATAACGAGAAAATGTTAATTAAAAAGTTAAGATTCGAAGACAAAGTTCAGAAATTTGAGGATTTTATTAACAGAATAAAGGCACGAGAAGCAAAGGAAAAGGATGAACGCGATGAATTGTTTGCCACAGAGTTAGAGAAAGTTAAAGAGTTTAATAACGGAGCAAAGGCCCGAGAAGCCAGGGAAAAAGAGGAACGCGATCAATTGTTTGCCGCAGAGTTAGAGAAAGTTAAAGAGTTTAATAACGGAGCAAAGGTCCGAGAAGCCAGGGAAAAAGAGGAACGCGATAAATTGTTTGCTGCAGAGTTAGAGAAAGTTAAAAACCTTCAGAGGCTTATTAATGAAGTAAAGACAGTAGAAGAAAAGGAAATAGAGGAACGTTCTTAGTTGTTTCTCGCAGAGTTGAAGAAATACAAACAAGAGAATGCGGAAGAAGTTGAACGACAGAAAAATGTAACGTCAGAAATGCTCGAAAGTGTGGCGAATTCTAAGATGGAGTTTGAAAACGTTCATAAAGATATAAACGAGATAATGAAAGGTTAGTTTCACAGAAGGTTTTACAGAAATGCATATCACATTATTATTGCTACTGTATATAAGTGATATTGTCCTTATATAAATGGTCTTGCACAGCAAATTCTACCAAACAAATGCTGGAAAAAATTTATATTAAATTTATCTTTAATAATTCTTGTTATTGCAAATAAGTGATATTGTCTTAATAAAAATGGTCTAGCTTAGCAAATTCTATTAACTTTAAAAGGTAAATGCTGGAAAAATAACATTTTTTACATTTTTATATTAAACTTATCTTTCATGAAAAATATATAGACGTCAACAATATTCTGAAGAATAATGTTTAAGTTTGGATAAAACACATGAGTTTATTGTACGAGCTAACATGATGTAATATTTCTTTTTTTTTTCTTTTTTTTTGTATATAAGCAATTTCAATTGCAAAAGAATATGTCCCCGTATGTTATACACGACGAGGCAGTAAACAGTTTTCAAAACTTCTTGACAAACAACTGAACTGACATCAGCGAATCTGAACCTCGAATACGATATCCCCAAAAGAACGCACAAAACGACCAAATTGAACGGCACTGAGAAGTTCAAGTTACCGCCCATGTCTGCCTAGCACCGGCTTAAGCAAAGATCAACATTTAAACATGAAAATTTGTCTGTACTCTGTGATTACAAACCGGACATGCCGCCAATGAATGCATTTTTAGCAAAATTCAAAATTAAATAGAAATTTTGTGTTCTAAAGCATCCGGCCTTTTATACATACACCAATTTTTAATATGGTCCCGTCGCCTTAATAATATTTATAATTGTCCAGCCTTTTATACATTAACCAGTTTTTAATATTGTTCTGTCGCCGCAATAATATTCATAAACACTAATTGTTTATATTGTCCGTCCATAAAAACATATACAAAAACACAAGCTTCCTTATATCACATGTATTTATTAATACATAAAATCATGCGGTTCTTTTCCGCCAAATTATCTAATGAATCAATAATTATCGCGAATATGATTGTATATTTGACATAAATATAAAAGAAGCATGGAACTCACACCCTATGTTATCATGTCAAGTTGTACACAAACGTTCTTCGTTCGGGATATTATTGTGTGTGCCTCTTTTCTTTTCTAATTTGAATAACATTATTTGGGATATCAACATAAAGATGAGAAGTGTACATACATAGTTTATGCCGTTTGTCATATACCAGTACTGAAGGGCAATCTCCAATGTTCTCGTTAAACCAATTATTAATACACGCCCAACATCAAATTTTCTTTTTGACTGTTCTTCGTAGCAACGACAATACAAACAGCCAAAATCTTCTGTCACTGAAGTCCTACAGAAACATAATGGCCGATGTATATATTATATCCTGCACTAATCTTTTCTTTTCACGCTATCAATCTGATAATCTGCATGAAAATACGGTGTCCTAGAGCTCCATTTTACATTGTTTTAAGTGTTCTGCATATCCTTTAAATTGAAGAGCTGATTTTTGAGCTAGCTCCATGAATCATATATTCGAATCCAGCAGGTACTCTACAAAATGCATGGCTAACACCACTCATATCAATATACTTCAATTTCAAACTGTCTCTTATTTGTAAATTTGACCACGGCAATTTAAAACTAGCCAACTGAAACTGTATACTACCTCCTGAGGTATAACGTTTACGTCTGATTAGAAAGTAAACTTTATCTAAATAATTATCTATAATTTATTTATTATTATCACGGTGTCTATATCGCGTGACATTTTGTGATCTGTGTGATAGAATACAAATACAAAAGACAGTAGTATTTTCCAACATTAATTTTCTATATGTCATATTCTTCACTGATCTTTCCTTCAAAACTATACAATTTGAAAATCAACATGAAAATATGGTGTCCTAGAGCTCCTTTTTACACTATTTTAAGTATTCTGTATACCCTTGAATCATATATTCGAATCCAACAGTTACCACCTCAAAATGCATGGCTAACACAACTACACTATGTCCACTTCAATTTCAAAATTGTCTCTCATGTGAAAGTTTGACCATGGCAAATTCGAAACTTCCCAACTGCAACTGTATACTTCCTCCTGAGGTACAACGTTTACGTCTGCTTACAAACTGACTGGCTAACTGCGAACTTTATCTTAACTAGTATGAATAATTTATAAATAATTATGATCACGGTGTCTATATCGTGTAATGTAGGTAGCAGGAAACCAACACGAAAGACGGTACTATTTTCCATCATGACTTATTGTCCAATTATCTCATTTTGAATAAGTTGTAGAGTCCGCTTAATCTACTTATTAAGCCCTACATAGATGTTTCTTGAGAAAAAATAATATTCTTCCGTAAACTGAAACCTTGTGAATTTCTGAAGATTCAAACAGGCGCTCACATTTTCTAACATATGATTATTCCTCAGAAAACTTCCAAAACTTATTTTTGAGAAGAAATTACTGCCTGAATCGTATTTTGTATTGTTTTCAGTCGCAGGCAGATTATAAAAGTCAAGTGGTTAAGGCAACGTAGTGATACTGGCAAAAGAAATATTTGAGATAATGTTACTTTTACATTATAAACAATGTACATGTCGCCCAATATTTACCATCATGCCAAATGGTATGCCTTTCATCTTTTGCATTATAAGGTCAACATAATTATGTTGTTTGGTTTTATCCTGAAATGTAACATAATTTATGTTTCAAGAAAACATTCACCTAAATGTATCTTTTTATCAGTTTTTAAACTTTTAATCATACAATTCTCTCGGTATTTTTTAGGGAAAGTTGTGGCTTTCACAGTGACAACACCTAAGGCGGGTGATCATTATACTCCATGTCTTTTACAAAGGTCATTACAAACGAAGGGAACGCGTTTGATACATCGACTGGCAAGTTCACGTGTCCTGTTAGTGGACTCTACTACTTTTCCTTACACATCGTCAAAAGACGGTCGTCTAGTGTCGGCTATGCTGGATGTTACATTCATCTGAACGGATCAAGTAAAGTGTTAGCTCACACAAATCCACAGGACGGGTCAAATGGTGCAGACAACGGAAGTTACAAAGCTTCGACGTCGGCGTATTTAGAATTGAAGGTTGGAGATGTGGTGATGTTAGATAGTTGCAGCATTGGTATATCCAACCGCGTAGAATCATGGACGTCGTTCAGTGGTCATTTAGAAAACGGAGTTTATTAACTTATACGTAATATTATACATGCATATATTTTTTAGTATTTGTGTCACAAAAAAGTAACTTCTTTCACGCTTGATATTTAAAAGTTCGTATCAAATTTTTAAGTGATAAATACAGGTTATCAGCTTAGTTTGAAGATTCTGTTCATTCTTAGAAACAGTGTGTTTTTTATTCGATAAAACTTTAAAGTTGAGATTTTCATAAGAAATTTACCTTTTATAAATTTTGAAATGTTTGATAAAAAAGCTTTATTTTGTTCAATTTTCAAAATATTATTTTTATAGACTGGTTTGAATTTAATTGTATTCCCATATAAGTTTATATAAATCAAGTGACCCCTGGTTTGTAAAACTATTTTATATTGTGATTACAATGATTACAGATTACATATAATGAACGCGAGCAAGCATGATTCAGATCATCGTCAAACCAATAATAAACGTTGAGGAACAATTTATTCTGTTTACCTACAATATTTATGTATATTAAATTACTTAGACATTCTTTGTAACAAATCATTCAAGAAACGACCATAAGGTGATTCAAACAACATTTACTGTTTTTGAATGTAAATAAAAATATTATACACTTTGATTTAGATGTCCATGAGACACCTTAATCTATGGTGTTAATATTTGAAATGGGAAAAGTATAAAATGCGGTACAAAAAATAATTCAAGAATGTACAAATTAAATACCTAAATGACTGTAAGTACGGTACTGTTGATTGGAAAAGCAAAAAGCAATTACGGTATTAAATTGTCGACAAAAAAAATTGTAGTTTCAAAAAATTAGGCCAGTGTTATTAATATTTAGCTAGTTTGTTGACATAATATTGTATTATGTTTGTTGAATTGTCATAAATTTGTATATATGTTTGATATGTATGTATTCTTGTTTTGCTCTTCATTCAATGGGGGAATAAAACATATATACACAGAGCATTTGTTTTCTTCGTTTACTGACCAAAGCAATGTGACTGTTGTCTCCACTCGAATGACTTATATTTGAAAGAACAGCAGTTAAAGGGACGTTATAGCAACTCCAGTGTCAGGATAATTTGAGAATGACGACCGTGAAAGGGAGCTAATGAAATTTGTTTAATTTCAATGTGTTAAAAATATATGAGACATACCAATGATTTGAGCGATTTATTCAATACATTCTTCATTGTGGTATACTACTATTCGAGCTAGGCTTGATTTTTAAAACTGATCCCAGGTCACATATTAGATAGACTGTCACGTAATCATTCATAGGGGAACAACTTCATATGGTTCGACGAAATGTGCATCGTTTAGAATGACCTGTCGTTTAACATAAGTGTGTTAAGCTCCAACATAAGGACGCCATTTTCAGGAAATTGAACAGTTTTTATTTATATTTCTATTGATATTTTTTCAATTTTATTTATTTATTTATTTTTTAATTTGAACTATAATTTTACAGGAAACAAGCAAGCACATCATCGAGTTAGACTCGAACCAATGATGCCTAGGTTGACAAGTAGACACCTTAATCACTTAGGCACTGCTCGTAAAATTTATAGACTGATTCTACAAACTAAATTACTGTCAATTAGGCAAATTTCACCACGGCTTGAAGCTTAATAACTTCCTAAATTATGTTTGACATAATTCTTCTGTAACTCATGTAGTTTACTATATCTGCGTTAGCTAAAACATATACATGTATCTTGGTGTGTCTATGCGACAAACATTTTCAATCGGTAACACTAACTGATTTTTCGTAATCGACTGGGAATACTTTATCCGTATCACTGAAATTTAACAAAATTAACAAAAGCAGTATTTGCATGTCCGTGCACTTAATTCTGAGTTTACTTTGTGCGTTAAGATAAATTGTAAAATGTACGTACAAGTATATGTTCAAGTTTCATGTCTACGGATTTGTTGATTTTTTTTTTTTATTTTGATTTTTTTTAAAAATGATTGGGTTTTAAGTCGCAACAACACAGTGAATGGCGAATTCTAGCATTCTACCTGAGTAGAACCAAAGACGTTCCGTAAACTAGCTAGCTCACAAGAAAGAATCCAAAGTCACTGTCGAATCTCGAACCACTGACGCCTACTTACATTTAGAGTAAAAGTAAATCAGCATACACCTAGAATTGATTACTCTATTACGGTTTAAAATTCTATATAAGTTTCGATTATTTCCCTTTGTAAACTTTTCAGATGCCTTTACAATTTCTTATAAGAGATATAGAGAAAAAACAGTGATGGTTGTTTATATTTTCTAATTTATTTAGCATTCGACAAATAGCAAAATAAATGTAACATAATTATTATTTATCACATAAACCGCGGCGCAGGAGTATAATAAAGCCATGTTATAAAAACGATATTACACTAGTGTAATAACACTTTGATTATATAAATTAGTTCTGACAGCTTTTTTACAATGTAATCTATAATTCGATCAATGCTCATCAAAATATACATTTGCACTTCCAAATAATTGTTTACATAAAGTCACAGAGTGGTTGATTACGTGATTTTAGTTTACGATAACTTTCGGTCACCTCTAATAGCTGCACCCAAGACATTAAAGTTTTTTTTTTCGCTAATTTTTCGTTATAGTTTTCAATTCAATTATATTTGAATAAATAAAATGTGCCATGCCCCAGGCAAGTGTTTGCCGATTCCAAACTATCTATTGTAGACCTTTTTCCGCTATGATTTCAGTCATGTTTCTTTGCAGTATACGTAATATTTTTACGAAATTATATGGTAACATTGTGGTCACAATTTCTTCAACCATGTCGAGAAAAGTATAATAGCTAAAAAAATTGTGCAATTGGAATCGGCAAATATTTGTCTAGAATATGGTATACTCGTATGTTTATTATTCAAAAATTGAAAGATATAACCAGAAATTAGCAAATACCTTATACCGTGTGGCCATACTTGCGGTGACCCAATGTTACAGAAAACATGTGTATAATGATCACCCAACCTGAAGCTTGATGATCAAGATCAAGCTTTTATTGTTGGCCACCTTACAGTATCATCCACTGGTTCATAAATGAAATGAAGTGGAAAAAAAAAGTTAAGTTTCCAATGGGGTCCGAACACTGAAATTAATTTATCTTTTTTGCCCCTTGTATCTGTAATATAAATGTCGAAATCCATTTCAAAGGAAGTTTTACCCGTACTTATACCAGCAACTATTATTTTCAGATATGTGTTGGCAATAAGTAAAAACAGTAACAGTAGCCATCCGAGCACTATGCAACATGCATATATCCAATCAATGTATCCGAATACTGCACGAGTTATTGCTATTGGGAAAATCAAGTCAAAGTAACTAGTGTATGGAAGAATATCGTAATAATAAAATGGCAGACAGTGTACGCTTGCAAATAAAGCGCCCATGAGAGCCCAAAAAACGAATACGGTAAAATGTCTGAGATTCCTACCCCCAATACACACCCCGGTAAAATAACAGTGGTGGTCTCGCTTCATTACACACTTGTCACATATTGGACAATGGTGACATCTTGGTGGGCGGGGTCTGTTACACTGTAAACACGGGGCCCACGACAAATATGGGTATTGGGTCCTCTCGGGTGGCTCCGTGTGGGTTCTGGGTACTTTACTGGCGACATACATAAAGCTGTCTTGTGAGTCATTAATTTCCATGTTGAATGATGTAGCGTCTTTTCGAGATCGCATGGTGCTGTCATTATGGTTATTGTCAAGAGTGTGGCATATTTTCTGTCCAATTGATATCCCGTCCGGAATAATACCGTCACGTGACGGCTTATAACTTGTATCAACGTATTTTATACACAACCAATTCACAGTTAATTGAAAAAACTATGAAAACTCCAAATAATCGTAAGCACAAAATAATATTGTCATTATAGTTACTATACAGATATGGAATAGCAAATATCATTCCTACACTCGCGATGCCTGTCATGCCTGTCAGGAATATAGCCTGAGTCAAGTAGTCACATATTCGCAGGTTGAAGCTTTGTACTATAGGCGTAAGCATTTCTTAAATTTCCCACTTTGTTCGACTCAATGTGTTCTTGAATTTGACAGTATCGTTGCTCTGCATCTTTGAACTCTGAATGAATGAATAAATGTACGAGCAGTTCATTAACACCCTTTATATACATTTGGACTAAGATATATGAATTATAAATGCGAGATAAAAATGGAAAAGGAGAGAAATGGAAACATAAACCTTTAAAAAAGATCTGATTCGCATTTTGCAAAATTTTTATTTCTTTAGGTATTAATCAAACAAAAATGAAGCTTGTTTGACTTTCTGTTTCTTTTCTTAACAATTGCATGTGTGTATACACCAGGTTAATATTATAGTTTTACGTAATTGTTTTACATTGAATACTAGGGAGTACATGCAAGCCACGTGCATATTTCAAGTAACCTAGTTTTGTCACAGTCGTTTTAAGTAGTTTATTTGGTTTCTACAGAATTTACTTAGTTCGATTGTGTAGGAAGCTATTAGCTTAAAAACACATTTTTCAAATACCTTTCTAGAATCAACCAGTACTGAGCAATGTGTGCTAAGTTTGTTGCTCAAGGAAACAACGACTTGTCCCTGTCAGGGTTTGAACCCATGCGGCTAGCGAACTTTGGATTACTAGTCCGAAGCGTTAACCACTCGGCCATGCCGCCAGTAGAAGTTTATTTAATACAACAGAATAATGCATGTTTTAACATTTAACATTTTGGAATTTAATCAAAATGTTTCTTGTTTCCTCTATAGACCATATACTCTCTATAATGAAAATGTGTCTTAAAACCTTTAAATCTAATTGTAAATGGTCATTGGCTAGGTAAAAAACAAAATAACTTGGCATTTTACCATATTTGTATGCAGTTTAATAGTTTACTATGAAAAAGTAATCAATACTCCACGTGACCAACTGAAATTTCTATAAATGTCGTTCAGAATGTATCGGTAGCGTTCCAATTTAAAAATAGTAAGGCAGTCTTTTTTATAAAATATGTCGTTTTTAAATTGTATAAAAAAACGTTCTTGTTAATTATTGATCTATCACCATAAAAACAAGCTTTCGAAATATATCACTAATTCAACTTAAAATGACAGCAAAAATTGAGTATTATGTCACTTTAATTACTTCAATTCTTTGCCGGAGAAAATGTATCAATCGGGTTTCAAAGTTACAGGAAGCATATAGCCTTTTCACAACGTTGTTCCCTGATATGAAATTAACAACGATATAAGATATATTTTGATATAACATGTATAACTAACATGAATGCGTCACAACATTCTTGCCTAAAAATGCGCTCATCGGTGTTCCGGTATACGTTAACTGGAAGATAATATGCAATAACAAAACGTTTCTCTTGGCCATGTGCTCGGGCTTTTATTGCATGCTCGTGCTTCTACATGACTGTGCTAGTTCACGAAACACTGTGCATTAATTCTCTATTAATGTTCAAAATGACTTCAGCAGTCCGATAAAATGTCTAATGACCACCTAAGTGGGCACTTCAATCATTTTCATTGAACAGCTAAATTTTAGTGGTGTACAAATGTATAACCGCTACAATACACGCATTAATCTAGTAAGAATGAGAGACCGTTCAAAAAATATAGCACATTTCACTTGAAAGGTTGTTTAGTTATTTATATGCTTAAGCAATGCAATTCTTTTCCTTTAAAACTAATTTCACCTGTTGTTGTAGAGAAGTATTACATATAATGAACACTTCGGACCTAGCATTTTACATGTAGAAATCTTCAGTTTAATAATAGTTCATTGTGTATTTTGTACATGATAAATTTACACAATCTAAAATCATTATCTTAAGTATAAACAAAAGGGTTGGACCAAATGTTATACCAACAATATCTAGGGTCCTCCCCAAAATCTAGAAAATTTTCCCGTCAGCCCCAAACATTGAACAGACCG